CTCTCTCTCTCTCTCTCTCTCTCTCTCTCTCTCTCTCTCTCTCTCTCTCTCCCCCCTCTGCATCTATGTGTGTGAGTGTGTGTGTGTGCATGCGTGTGTGTGTGTGTGCGCGTGCGTGTGCAAGCGCGCATGTAAATTCAAACCCAGCTGATCTTAATGTATATTTAAAATTTTACTGAAAATTTCTGCCATGTCAAAAGCTTGGCTATATGTCAAGGTCCCTGTAAACGTGACGTATATTCTTTTTTAAATAAATTTTTCTACCCAATGCCCGTCAGTCATCAGGTCGTTTCAGACCTGTCGCATGGACTTGAACACAAGTCCTCAGAAAATAAAAACCGCCGTCAGTCTTGAGGTCATCAGGCTGATGCTTGGCCAGCCAGATATTTTGCCTGCGGGCTGAGGTACGGTAGTGTGGGGGGAGAGAGCAACTCCGATAGTTCGCGAATGGCAGATGGTGGTGAAAAGGCACAAATACTATGTTTATATATTTTCTCCTTTGTACACTGGCAAGACCTGGCGGTAAGCCAGGCTGGCAGTGTAATAGAGGGCAGTATAACAAGGTTTTACTGTATGTATAAACAGAGGATGGAAAGAGGGGCAGAGGCAGACAGAGGGAAAAGATACTGGACAAGATGACAACATGGCTAGGAGCAGTAAGAACAGACACCATTGCTGCAACGCAAGACAGAGTGAAGTGGGGGTCCATGATCGCCCAAGCCAGTCGGCAAAGCACCGGATGATGATGATAAACAGAGGCTGACATAATCTTAATCAGGAAATCTTTGTTTTATCCTCATAACCAACCACGCAAAACACAATACCTTAGAATCTTCATTTGTGATACTAGGAGGATTCTTTTCAGGGCTGGACTCTGGAGTGCTATTATCATTTTGGATTGGCTTGAAGGCTGGAATTGTCTTGACATTCGAATGATTTTTCTGTAAAAAAAAGGTTTTAAAAAATATTTTTAACTACACATATATTTAGAGTTTGAAAAGAAGTGTAAAAGGGAAAAAATTATGCTGGAAAGGATTTATCAATTAAATACAAGAGAACTACCCTTGACCAAGGGTACTCAAAAGTTATTGAGTAGATGATGTATGTTATTGAGTAGATGATGTATGTACATTGAAATAATTAAGAGGCAAAATAAAAAATTTGTCAACAAAATAAACCTGTTTTTAAAGTACTGGCAACTGTAATAGAGGCATGAAGACTCCATTTCAATCAGAGCCCTAATAACCACGAACAAAATCAAAACTGAATTTACAGTAATGCAACACCTACCAATTTCTTATAGTGGTGAGAGCAGTAGCCACAATACTTGACATTTTCATAGCTGCCAGTCACTTCACAAAGCAGGCCTTGGGCTTGGGCACTGAAAAAGGTCCAAATTTAGTTTAACAGATAAGTTAACAGACTGGTGAAGCTGAAAACTAATCCCGCAAAAAAAAACTTGATTCCTTTGTCTCCAAAAAAGACAAGTTTTCCTCAACTGGTGACAAACATCTCTCTTCCTGATCATGAACATCGAATCTATTACAAACACAAGCTGATATAAACAACACAAGCATTCATGCCTTTTAAATACAAACGTAATTAACATAATTATTCCATTATAAAGTCTCCCAATCACAATTCCCTCACTGACATCCGAAAAAGATTTAACCATGTTGTCTGTAACAAAAAGATACAAACACATTAACCAAATTATCCAAGCAAAATATGAGATCAACGTACCAAGTGACATGGAAATACTGTTTGCAACCATTGCGGTTACACTGCATGCACGCTCCAGCAGTGGCCTTTGTGTCACGTTTTTGCTCCTCACAAATGTAACAGATCTATGGAGCAAAACAAGAAGAAAAAAAAAAGTCACATGCAAAAGTTGAAATCAATCTCATAAACTCAGCTAAATAAAATGAAAATACTGATTATAAGCTGATGAAAAAAAAACAACTAAAGCACAACCCATTCTTAAAATAAAATACATACCATCAAAACTTTTTTTTATTGAAGAAAGAAAAGAAAAGAATTTTTAAACAGAAGCTTTATTTTTATCCCCATTTTGCCAAAGTAAAAACCAAACTACAATATAAATGTACATGACATTCTCCAATCAATTATCTTACATGAAATCATACATTTGGGGTCAGTATGAAATAGGCTCACCTTGTTGAATCGTTCTTGAGGAACCGCACTGAGCACAATTGGCTCCATAGTCTGAACATTGGCAAACCATGCTTCCGGGATGTACAAAGCACACACAACATGACACCATCCTAAAATGAGTACAACAACAAAAAAAAGGTCATTCAAATTTATGGACATCAACCAAGATGTGGAACACAAAAACTTTTTTAATGTTTTTTTAACAAGCCCCAATTTTACACATCATGCTACAATACTAGTCGAACCTGCCTTAACGGAAATCTGTATAAAACGGAACCCTGTCTTAACGGAATCTCCCCGCTCCCCCCTTGATATATTCTTCTTTAATTACCTGTATAAAACGGAAACCTGTCCAACGCGGAAACGGAAAGAAAAATCCGCTCCCTTCCGAGGGTTTCACCTGTCTAAGACGGAAAATGCTTTGCCCGCTCAGCCCTGATTTGAAAACAAAACTCGCAAGTTTGGTTCCGCCGGCTCAAAACTTTTAACGCCATGGCCATGCCGCTGGGCAAGGAAGGGGAGTAGGGGTTAAATGGAGGTAGACGTTACCCCATCATGTGAGCCCTGAGCGATACAGATGGTCAGTGTAGTGTGGGTGTGATATCTCACGACTGCCTGTGAGAGTGCTCGAATAGCGAGCCACTACGGAAACTTTCCTGGGTAACCAGAAACCAGAGGTGTGAAATTAGATTGACCAATGCCTGCCGCCCTGATCGTACGGCCAGCCGAGAAAAGAGTTCCTCGAATCGTTGTTACATTGATGGCAGTGAGGGGTGGCATTGGTGGGTGGGACTAAGGGTGGAAGCCAAGGAGATGTTAAAAACGTTTCTGTTTTAATAGGTCAAACAGTGGTCCTATGAAAGGCAAGCACTGGTAGTAATTGGATACATAAGACTGACGCATGTCACTATCAGACAGGATAGCAGCTGAGAGGTGTGAAGTTTTGACCACAGCTTGCCGATCAGACAAGCGATCCTTGATCCCACCGGCTGGGACTTTGAACCACCCCCACCCCCACCCAAACCTCCACCTCACCCTCAATTCCCCTGTCTAAGACGGAATTTTTTTCACGCTCCCTTGCGATTCCGTCTTGCACAGGTACGACTGTATATCTTTATAATAAAGTATGCCATTAAATAAAATCAAGTGTTAAAAAGCCCAGAGCCCATTATCTTCTGACAATACCAACAGACTGATAATTAAATCAATCTTACCACCAGCATCAGTTCTCTTCAAGGCACCAGCTCTCTGAGGGCACAGCTCACATTTCTAGAGACACAAAGACAGAGATGCATTAAACACATGAACTGAACATAATGTACATAGTGTTTCCAGGTCATTCCTGAATGCCACATTTAACAAATTTTGTCAACTTGATTTTGATTAGGCAGCAAAATACTGACTTTTGACTTTGCATACAACATCATGAACTTAAACACTTGAGCTGCATAGGCTTAGAACACTCCTGAGTTCTTCAAACACATCTGTGCACAGATGTCTTTACAAATTAGACAATCACGCCTCCACAACTTCACCCCACTTCCATGCTTCCAGGATTTGTACATTTTCAGAAACCAATCTGAAAAACCTAAATTGTACTCGGGGGCTTAAAAAAAATAATCAAATAAATAAACCAATAAAAGCAAAAATACAAAGACAACTTTCACCCTTAGTCAGACTTTAAAATGACACTTAAAGAATCAGAGGGAGCTCCCAACACGAGTCACCCATGTCAATAGCAATGACCTATGATAGTATGTGCTAGTAAGTAACAGTATTCATGCTACCTTTACTACTGTTAACACTGATACTTACTACACGGGCAACACGCTCTTGTGATTCACATTTTTTACAGAACCAAGGCCCCGTTGGAACTTGTACAATGCCATAACATGCTATTAGAAAGATGGAGAAAAAAAAATAGAAGTTTTAATAAAACTAAAAAAACATAAAATATTACAAAACCAACCAAATCAAAGGTTAAACAAAGCCTAAAGCAAAATTTTACCCAATCAGAACTGGATATAGAAATTGAAAAACTTTGTTATCTTTAGTCAAGCCTTCCCTATTCTAACCAATCCAATCATTCACATTATCTCAGTTGTGCATACACACACACACACGCACAAGAGTAGGATGGAAGACTTTAGACCACTAACTAATAGGTCTGCCCACCTCAAATGTTCCATTTTAGGTAGATTGAGCATCAATTTCAGGGGGGGGGGGTGTAAATCAGTACAGAGACATGGCAAGGTGGGGGGTGCAGATAAACATTACCCAAGTACGAGTAATTACCATCAAGTAGAACTTGCTTCTAATATTACTATTACGTAATTATATTCTTAAAAAGTATATATTTGCATGTGTGTGTGTGTGTGTGTGTATGTGTGTGTGTGTGTGTGTGTGTGTGTGTGTGTGTGTGTGTGTGTGTGTGTGTGTGTGTGTGTGTGTGTGTGTGTGTGTGTGTGTGTGTGTTTAAATGTGCGTGTGTGTGTGTGCATGTGTGTGTGCGTGTGTGTGTGCGCACATTTGGGTGCTAATATGTGAAGGTGAACAATGTTGATGAAATGAGATTGGACTTTATAAAATGTTTACGAACTGTCATTCACAGCATATATCAATTAATATTGAATGTGGATTTCAGCACAAGGTGACAACAAACTGACTTCCAAATCAATTGGCTTTACCAACTTTAAAAACTATATTAAAACATAATACTTCCGGACAATGATTGCAAACAGGGCACTGGTAAGTCGTATGTGACTTGGGTGTATGCCAAACAATTTTAACTAATTTCCCCTTTTAAAAAAAGAATCCTGTCTTGGGCAAGTGAAAAAGGCCACAACATGAACTGTCAAAACCATGTCTGGGTTTCAGCATACAGAAATTCTAACAACCTTGTAAGATAAACCTCACTGAAGGAAAAACTTTATAGACAATAGGTGGACCTCAAGGCAGATCATAAGTAGAAATCGTAGGGAGCATTTCCTGAGTGCCAGAATTGAAAAGACTGGTGAGAGCAGGACATAGTGATGCTGAACACCTGGCAATCATGGACTAAGTTAGTACTGATTTTTCAAAAATGCAAAATTACAGACTCAGTTTTAAACTGCACAGTTCATTAATCATAAAATTTGGTTTTGAGATCTTATCCTCCCATATTGCATCAAACAGTTTAAAGAGTATCAAGAAAGTTTAAGCTTTTTTTCTCCTCCGTCCCCCCAACCCCTGAAGTCATGACCGTAGCTCTATTTATAAGTAATAAGTTGATAAGTATTACAAAAAGCCTCTGTAAGAATACATAAGAAGTGTGAACGATTTTCGGTGACCCCGATAACCACCAGTTTCTGACAAGCGGTACTTACATAAGTCATGTCGTATGACAGGAAATTTTTATATAAGTTAAGTTTTAACGACTGGTCTCGAAGGCGATGGATGACTATCAGAACTAGGGCGAACCTTGTTTTAGGGTGTCAATTAATTAAATAATTCAGAACGAGTATTCAACTGTCAATTTGTACTGCAAGCTTCCCAAAGTTATGAGTCCCTCTGACAGAGGCATAAATGAAGTCAACGAAAAGACCCATCTGAAGGCGGGGACCCGCAAAAGAAAACAAGCCAAATTTTTTTCCATTAAAAAAAATCAAAGCACCCATTGAAAATTCAGTTGTTTAGGCACTTTTATCGGTATGGCAATACAGCAGGTCCAAAATCAGTTGAAATAGGCATCCCTGTACTAATCATTCAGTTCATTCACTGAGGCAGCCTTCACTCCCTTTCAACATTAGTCACTTCTCTCACTCCTACACTATTCTCCACTTTTGTCGAAATGAACGGCATTGAATCAACTTAAATCACAGTGTATTTGTGTTAGTACAGCTTTACAGTACACACTACAACTGGGAAACATGCTATTTAAATAGTTTCATATATATTGCCAGTTGCCCCAACGACAAAGAACCCCCAAAATTAGCAAAAATGAACTTTAATAAATAAAAAGGCACATTCTAAACAAATCAGTAATAGCTGCGGATAATGTGAAAGACAGTGTCTATCAAGGGACTCGTTTCCTGGAAAGTAGGTAGTGCCGTACAAAAAGCAGAGGAAAATAGAATGTCAGTACTACCGCATTCCCTCTTCAGCACACCTCTCAAATGACTTGACAACTTCACAACACTTACATATACTACAGTACTGTGCACATTTCCTAGCTTTGAACCTGAAGAGGGCCTCTTTGTATTTAACAAAAGTAATGGAAAAGGAAGACAAGAACTTCCGTAACAGGCCACCACCCAACAAACACAAAAAGTGGAACTCGGATTCTTTAAAATCAATTAAAATAACCCAGATTCAACAAACTCTTAAATCAGCATGCTAAGATTCAATAAGGTCCCTTCCATGGTGCTCAGCCCCCACAGACGTTGCTTCGCTCATTTTTTCTCCCACAACAAACTTTATCTATTCCCGAAAACCATCCATTGCACCTGCATCGCGAACCATTATTCACTAGGCGATTGCATGCGACCAATAAGCGACCTTCTTTCATACCAACACATGCGTTGTTGGCACGCGCACGTTTCTACTCTAGCGTGTGTTGGGGTCAGATTAGCGGCCTGCACATGTGTGACTGTGTGTGCGTGTCGGGGGAAGGGGGGGGGGCACCATCTGCCCTGGTGTGGAAAGTCGCAGAGATACAAACGCGACTTGATTGCAGCAAATAGTAGAGTCGAAACACTATTTTCTGCATGATTACAAATGCCACTGAACCGAGAGGCTTTAAAGGGGTATTTTTCTGTTGGCTAATAAAGACTACAAACACACTTTTCAAAACTGCCTTTTAAGATATTTGCTTGAGTAAAGAGCAGTACATACAATAACAGTCATTTATCCCCGCGAAAGAAAGCAAAACAAACAGTTGACAGTCTCTGAAAGAGAGAGTAATTTTTTTATTTTTTTTTAAGTTTTACGGCGCTTGCAACTGCACTGCAAAAGATCATATGAACGTTAAGGGGTGGATGTCAAAACAGAAGTCCAAAAGGGGAATCAGGCTTACTCTGCTCATCTCTCTAGCTTCAACAGCACAAAGTCTGATTCAACTATCAAGGCACCCCCGGGAATAGCAGTTTACAAGAGAGTATAGCTTTAGTAAAAGTTTTACGGCACTTGCAACACAATAAGGTCATATAAGTGCCGAAGTATGGAAGTGGCTATTCTCACCCGGGGTGAGAATAAAAATACGATCTACCTCTCACCCCGGGTGAGACTTGCCAGCGTAGGCTATTCTCACCCGGTGTGAAACAAGACCTGTTTTTCCTCATTTTGGAATACTGTCTATCGGTGTGGATGATCAAATTGATAAAAGCCAAGAAAAAATGACGTTATAGCACAAAAGTAAGCTAATTTGATCGTCTTCAAAGATGCTATGGCTAATTCACTTTTCGAATCGAGCCGAACTACGCGGGTCGCCATTTTGTTTTGCCCGGAAATTCTCCCAAGATCTACTCCTCCCCTCTCTCTCTGTCTCTTTCTGAATACTGTCTATCGGTGTGGACGACCAAATTGACCAAAACAAAGTTAAAAAATTATGTCAAAAAAGAAAACTAAATTAATTTGGTTGTCGACAAAGATGCTACGGCTATTTAACTTTCCGAATCAAGCCGAACTACGCGGGTCACCATTTTGTTTTGCCCGGAAGTTCTCGCGCTGCTCCTCTCTCTCTCTTTCTCTCTCTCCACTGCCCACAGACAAAATTGCACGCTTTTAGGCTAGGCCTAACACTAACAGTAGTTAATAGATCTAAATCTAGAACGTTTGTTCATAGCACAGAATTCTATAATTCTGTTATCACAGTGTAGAATTCTGTGGTTCAGGGTGAAGGCTTCACTGGTTGGCCAAGGCTAGATCTATTATAACTGTGAATGCCCACCGGGTGAGAATAGCCAAAAGACTCGCCTGCGCTATTCTCACCCGGGGTGAGAATAGAGGTGGCCCCGAAGTATAGATGTGTTGTTACAAGAGAGTAACACACACTGAATTTTACCATAATTTGATGTTTGGCAGTTGTCAGGTTTGATGATCTTAGTTTGCTGCGCATCAAACATATAGATCTAGATCTAGATTTAGATCTAGAATCTAGGCTCAAATAAAGGGGGTGGGAACTACCGAAAAAGCACCAGACATTCAGTCACCAGGTCAGGTCCAGGCTCCTACACACAGAACTATAATTACGAATATGTGAAGATAACTTCTATCAGAAGTAACAACTCTGATGACTGCTACTGCTATCCCTAGATCTATCATTTCGATTTGTGACTTATCTAGTTGTGTGTGACCACTTTTTAATTTTTTTACAAAAAAAGTTCGAGTTTAAATTTAAAATGAATCAGAGAAATTAAATTATTTAAGAAAATACTGCTACCAACACTTCAATTTCTGTAAATCCTTGGTCTATCAACTAATCTGGAAATGGTAGATCTAAATAAAGACAATAAATCAAACAAATAAAATGCTTCAATCCCGGGGAGACCACAGGACACCGTCCAGGGCCTGGATTCAGAGCAGAGCAGCAAAGAAAAGCACACACCCTGATGGACTGCAACTGTGCAACCAGCTCCGTCACAATAGACTAATGGGTTTTCACTCCAGCCACGTTCGTCAGAGCAAACACAGCATCCACCTATCATTTCTTTTGAATCTTTTTTGCTCATTGTGACTATTCACTGTAAACAAACTGCAAAACGAGTAGCCTGGTCCAACGCCTGACAAGCGAAGGGGACTGCCATCTTAACTTTTGGCCAATATGGCAAATTTGTATTAGGTCCCTGGCAGCTACCCGCCACACAAAGCTATTAAAAAAAAGACGGCTGAACTTTACTCCATTATTTTTATATTATTTCTTTTTCAGAAAGATAGATCTAATAAACTATCACAAATGTGTGAATGCATTCTTGAATACTGTTCACATTTCTGGAAAATTTAATTTCTGAAAGAGAAAAATTGCAAAAACATATTATGTATAAGTTGTTTATTCGGCGATGATATCTTGCCATGACCAATGACCAAATACATCTTGTATTAGATCTACTTAGATTACAATACAAGGGGAAAAACCATATCATGTGTATGCATAAACCGGAAGTACCCATGTAGGTAACTCGCGCATATTAGTCTACATCAGTCAGGAATACAACCGTATGTTATCGCTTTCGGAGACATATGTTTCAAAGTAATCTCTCACTGAATGATTGTGAAAACAAAACAAAACAAATGAAGTTCATATAGACTCTATATTCCACTTTTATTTGGGTTGATCACGTTGCAAACAACTCAGAGAAAGAAACAACAACAATTAAAGAAACGGTAGGAACACCTCTGTTTGGAAGCTTTCGCTATCATTTATCCGTTACAGCTGTTCCACCTGGTGATCTGCCACCGTGTCAGTCTGACATAAACTGTTTCGTTTGACAGTCTGATAAGCCCATGTGTAATCAACAACTACCCTGACCTTAACCCTAACTTTTTCTTCTTCTTTTTTCTTTTTCTTTTTTTTTTTTTGGGGGGGGGCAAGTATTTTACAGTACTCGCAATTGCTTAATGTCATAATGAGCACACGAGACACATCAAACATTTTCAGTTTATTGGTAGGAATTAATTTTGAATTTTGCCCGCAAGTGGCGGTTGATCTACTCTTTTAGGTTTTAAAGGACCACCTAGGGGATCTATTAACGTGCGCAACTTGCACCCGGGACCTATACTATACGAATTTTTCGCCTATATCCGAGAAGGTTTCAAACGCAAGACCTATTGAATGAGAGGCGAACATCGTGTACCTCCAGACCACAAGAGTCCCCATCCTAACTTTAACCCTAATAGTCTTGAAAAAATTGTTTAATTAATTGTACGGACGATTGTCTTGGACAAAGCTGTTAATATATAGCCCAGAGCAGGTTCGACTATTGCTTTTCAGTGATAAATCCCACTCCCCCACTAACAGACACAAAATTATACAGATACTATGAGTTCACTGACAGTCTACCTCTTGACTGACAAGAAAAACCTGTGTTGTGTCAACTGGTTAATTTGTGACGACTCCCCACTTCCCCCTTCCCCTGTATTATTATAAAATGACACTGTCCAAGAGTCCACCTGTCTAAAACAATCAATTTTCTCCTCGACATTGGGTGACGGTCTTGGACAAAATTTCGACTAAATGCCAACACTGTCAATTATCAAAAAGAAAAAAGTAAACAATTAAGCACATTGAGGTAAAACACATATCTCCCAAAGTCCAGACATGGTCCCTGATCAAACCCTCGAGAGGAAACTGGTTAAGAGTAATTTGAATTGCATCAGGAGGCCATAGTTGATCAGACCAGGAGAGGCATTCGATCAAGGAAGATATCATAAGAGACAGATAAGAACGACATTAACAGTTCAACAATAAAATAAGCATATTATAATACATTGGACAGCAGAGGATAAATGGGTTTGGCCACCCCGATGCCTCTCGAACATCTGCAGCGCTCGAGCTTACAATACCGGATGCTCGGGGCCTGAGAGCAATAAGAGGAAGAATTTAAGACCAGTGACGCTTGAGCGATTCTGTGGCAGACATACTCAAAATGCACAATAATTTTATTATGTCTCTCCGTTAATTCAGACCACTCGACATGCTGTAGACAGACATCTGCAGGGGCCATCTCCTTGCGACGCCCATCGGTATCAGAGAAGGAAAGACAAAGTAAAGAAAGGTAAAATATGTAGGCCTACGCCGGTGTTGGTTTATGTAAAAAGTACCAAAACATTTTAAAATATGTCCAACAGCAGTCCTAAATCTGTATAAACGCATAGGGATCGTGTAAACTGAACCTTCACATATGTACCAAGCATGTACAAACTGGTAGACCTACAATGAAACCAAGTTGTCAGAACAGTCTGGTTGTAAACCTTCAACTGAACCAAAAACATAGTAAGGTCTTCAAACTAAAAAGGCACCTATTTTATATATATATATATATATATATATATATATATATATATATATATATTTATTTATTTATTTATTTATTTATATATATGGGATTGTGTCGTTTACGGACATAGCTCAACATGCATTCAGCTGATGTTAATCTGGAATTCAACATTCCAAATGTACAAAATAATAATAATGAACATGTTCCTAAAATTACATAACAGTAAGAAACTACATTCTTATGTCGATCAAAAAGGCGAAAAAGTTCAATCAAAAGTTGCTTCGCTCTGCCAGAATGCTCAACAGGAAGTGGATGTAACTGGGTACGCGTATCAGCGTTAGGCCTATTGTTGTTGTGAGTGATTCTTCTACGAGTTTCTTTAGACGAGAACCTTGTTGGACATTGTTACTGTTGATTAGCCGAGTTGAAAGGTAATTCTATTAGATTGTCACAAATTCAGTGACAGAAATTTTACAAGGTTTCTCAATTTTTTCTTTTCTTTTTTAAAAACCACTTTAGTACGACGAAAAAATCAACAAGATAAGAAATAAGACTGCACAACTGACAAGAAGATAATAATTCAAGATTGAATTGCGCTTGGGACTAGATTCTGGATCTAGATTCTAGATCTAGACTCTAGTCTCTATGTTCCCACTTGGACCTTTTGAAACAATTTTTTTAATGTCAAATAGTTTTAAAAGTTCACTTTTACTGTAAATGCAGTGACTACGCGTTTACGTTCACTTCGCAATGAATTAAGTAGTTTGCACGCTACGTTCACGGCACCCAATTTTAAATACGTAGTTTGCTGCAGTTTGCAATTTAAATGATCTTTCTCACTTCACCCCCTACCCTTTTCCCTTTTGCTTCTTCTTTTTTTCACCCCCTCCCATCCCTGTTCCCGACTTGGCCTAGCTTCTTCCATTCTCCCTTGTTTCTTCGAACGACTTGTATTTTCAAATTGTCAAGCGTTGCCAGGTCCGCACATGGGAAGAGGATCCAGGCGCTGAGCGATTGATGCCTTGTCGACCGTGGCTGTTTTGCTGTTTTTGCCTTTGCCCTCTGTAAGCTCCGTTGCATTCGGACCACAGCTGCATTATTTTTCACACGAGTATTCCTGTGCTGTTTCCTCATTCATTTTGAGGGATCCTAGTATTCCAGTTGTGCCCTGTGCCAATGGTGGATGATTCAGGGCACCATGAAGGTAGCCTGCAAACTACGTTCATGATGCCATGAACGTAGATTTTTGTCAGCTTTACTTCTCCTTTCATATTGAATTTTAATGAGAGTAATATATATATGATTTTAAAAATTTTAAATGTATATGCCTGCATGTGTTTTTACTGTCCTGTACAGACAAGTAAAAATTCCCTCTGGGATAATAAAGTACTATCTTATCTTATCTTATCTTAATCACTGCGTATTTTAAATTGTTTGTATTTTTTCACAGAATTGTGGGACTTTTATAATTATTACATCCGTCTTGGCTCTCGCTCGTGGTCTTATAATGGTTATATACACGGTGTTCGCCTCTCGTTCAATAGGTCCCAGGTTCAAAACCTGACAGCAACAGAAATGTTCTTCTTTAATATGTTCTCCTTTCCCCTCCTTTGATACTTGCTCTCTAACCATGTCTGTCATCTGCTTTCATCTCTCTTCTCCCACCTCCCCCCCTTTTCCCCCTCTTCTGGGCTCCTGGCTTTGCAGAGCTCCGAAAAACACTTACTAAGAAACACCTCTTGTCAATGCCACAACTTCAAATCAAAGTTACTAACCAGGCCTTACTGACTGACACTCACTGCATCAAAGTAGGCTAAGCTACTGCTAATTGAAAGCTTGTCATCATGACTGCTTTAAATTTTTTTTAAAGAGTCAGTTGGTATTTTGTGGGCTATCCAACTATACTACTAATTGAAAAGCACGCTGTTTCGCGGAATGATGAATTCATCATGCAAAGTTGTACACTGTCTTATTTTAATAAGAGTTCCCCCCAATAATCTGTAATCTTTATTTATGCAATTTAAAATAAGATGAAGAATGTCACAGAAAGAAAATTTAAGAAATCAAAGGGAGTGAAAAAGTCCTCCATGTTCTGGTCACTTATAAATGTTATAAAAACAGTTAGGAGGTGACAAATACTGTGCCTAGGACACTTCATTTGATATAAAGGCCTTGAATATTTTGCTCTCATTAGTAAAATAGAAGGCAAAACTTTAAGAAGAAAAAGTAGGTGAAGAAATAAGAAGAATTGTTACTAAAAGAACTTATTGAACAGACGGGTGATGGGGAATGACCAGGACATTCAAAGCAGAGATTGTCGAAATGAGTTGTGAATCATATGATCATTATATTAAATTATAACATGTCTATTTCAGCCCTGGCTCATGAAAAAGAACAATGATAAGCAGATGCCAAGGAAGTATTGGCTTGGTTTAGAATTTTTTTACACTTGTAAGTTTTTGTAAGCTTTATTATTCCCAGGTTTCCTATTACTGACTTGCACACATTTTGACACAGGCAAAATTTTAAAAAATGATGGTTACCGTATGAAAAAAGTATTTTCATTTTCTAGTTGATAATGAAGTACCATCCTGATGGTATTAGATCTATAAATACAGAATGTAGAGTGAAAGTGAAAGTTCCTCTGCTATAGGGCGGAGTGTTTTGAAATTTCTCTCTATTTTCTCCATCCTAATTTTAATTTGTTCGAGTATTTAGCTACTTGTTTTCTGTGAGAGGTGAATAGACGACCCGACCTGCTATCATGGTTGGCATATATAGAAGCTTGTAACGATTGCATCTGTCATTGATTGCAGTTACATTAGTCCTTATGATCAAGAGTGTAGGATCCTTTCTATTTGACTCTTTCCGAACGTAGTTTTTTGGGGGTCTAGACAAAATTAACTGGTGGCTTGATTTCGCTATGCAGGTGGTGTACAAAATAACTTCATAGAAGCATAACCATCGCTCAAAACGTAACATATGATATATCAAATTGAAGGAAATTGAATGAGGAATACATCACAATATTAAACAAGGATTAATTTTTAACACAAATATGCATTAGAAGGGTTAGAAATGGTGATAAGAAAAATAAATTTTGAGGGAAAAAATTACATTCACCAAACATGTGAGAGCAAATCAGCATAGCAGTCTTATCATATACAGGCCCAGAGCATAATCCATACATTTCTGAATGCGCAGCTTTTTATTTGAAAGCAATATTCCAATTTTTGTTTTAGTTATGAAATTTATACTGAGTCCGGTTACATCGTTTTGTTGCTGCAAGACCGCAAGATTTAATTCACACGTTTTTCCCCAAACCCATGCTTTGACAAAGTGAAACTAGATGTTTTCGTTCCCTCAATCCTTTCAGAGTTTTTCAATAGCAATAAAATGTAATTATAAATGACGGATCGTGTTAAAATGAAACAAAACTGAAACACCCTGTTACAGCCGGTATATCGGCGATATGTCGAGAAAGAGTTAAAATTGCAATGGTAAGACATCAAAACTGAAGAAAAAAAAATGGGCTATGGATTCCATGTGTAAAGACTGAGGGAATAATATCAAACATGGAAAATAAGGTATCAGTACACAAATTGATATGTTTAATAACTGTTACATAACTTTTTTCAGGTTTTAGAGAGTATTCTACTTTTAACTATATAGTCAATTTTTTCCTTACAATATGAAAGAGGAAAGAAATTTAAAAAACAACCTTACAGAGCATGCATTTCTTCCCTCTCTTTGAAACTGTTAATTCCCATAAACCAAATAATATTACGCCAAATGCAATATATGGGAAAGAAGATTTGATCTTTTTTGAGTGTCTTATTTCAACGGGCTGGGCGTTCAGGTTGCGAGTGGGCAGTTAGCAACAAATTTCAGTGACTTAGTGTGCACTGGGTTTCCTTGATAGGAAAGGTTCATTTTTGTGGGTTTGTACATTTTAGAAATAATTATTGAGACATTTCTCAGCAAAGTGTTTAGGCACTCAGAATTTGGCTTGCAGCGATTTCACAGCACAGTAGGCTACTTGTATGTGTATTAGAAGTTTTCTTTTTCCAAAATTTTAATAAGTGTGCTTGCCCCGCCAGGGCAGTGCTATGGACTGAAGTTGTCCTTAGGCCTTTCCCAAAGGGGGATATTAACTTTTTTTTTTCATACACAGTAGAATTGTAAATAGGCTGATTTATCAATGTCATGCTCATACTGTGCTGGAACAACATAGGGGGAACTGCTGCTTTTCCATTCCTCATCCTTACTATCGTCATTTTTTTCTCTACTTCTTTTGTATGTTTGTCACTCTCTTGTAAACTGCTAATTCCGGGGTGCCTTAATAATCGAAGCAGACTTTGTGCTGTTGAGGCTGGAGAAGTGAGCAGAGTTAGCCTGATTCCCTGTTTTGACTTCTCTGTTGACATCCACCCCTTGGCGCTCAAATGACCCTTCGCAGTTGTGAGCGCCGTAAAACCTTGCAAAAACAAAACAACAAATAAGTGTACATAGTATTTTTTTGTAGATTGTTTCTATTTCCTTCTTTTCCCCTTCTATATAACATCTATACCTCATGTTCTGATCTATGATATTCCTCAGAGAAAGACTACTCTGTTCAATAGCAAGTGAACATTACTTCTGAAGCACAATGAGCAGAGAAGGCTACCGCTCTCATATTTCAAGTTCGCCAGATCATATGAGTAAGGCATTTTTCCTCAGGTCATGATTTATCTTTGTTACATTTTTATTACTTTTAAAATTTGTATGCATCTTTTTTCAGTTTAAATTACTTCTGTATATTTCGACACCTTTGTAATAGTGCAGTAGACTTACATAAGCTTGAAGGCCTTATTAGCTGATAACATCTGTGTTGTAAGATGCTGCAGCAAGTTAATACTCATCGTCAAAAAGATATCAGGCTGGTGTTCAATGGAAGGAAAAAAGGAAAAACAAAATCTGTTGTAGCTGTGTATTTCTTGTGATTTTGGACTTGTATAGCTCAAGGGTTGAGTGTAATGATAGGGATCATGGGATAATATCTTTTGGTAAGCCTCTGTTCAGCAGGTAAGACATGATAAAGGACGTACATGCAAGAGTAGGTTCCAGTCAGTATATTGGAAGAGCCAAGATTCATAATGCGCAAATTCCAATTATTTTGTCAGTTAAAAAAAAACAGAAAACCCAATGCATTAATAATAGATTAATGATAATAATAATAATAATGATAATAATAAGAATAAGAATAATACCTGATCTATCAGTTTCTGATGATGACCAATACATCTGCAGTGGAGAATGTTTCTCCAGCAAAGTAAAAGAATTAGTAGAATTGTAGAATTAAAAGTTAAGATGACTTGTGGCTTCTGCTGTGGCTGATGAGACCAATTCTGGCAGAGTAAAGTTTGCCACGTTTTGAACATTTAAAAGCTCCACTTCCACTTGTGAATGTGGGCAGCCTGCAGGTTTCTCTCTTAGTTTCAGCATTTCTTATGCATAAAGAATCACTTGATTTGCTACTCACTGTGACTGCTGCTCTCCAGCTAGGTCTGTCAAGAGCTAGGCTCTCCCCTTTCGAAATATTTACGTTGTAGTCCTTCAGAAACCTTTTTAGGGTGTCTTTAGTCTTTGTAGTGTTTTTTTGTGCGCTGACCTTATGCTTACCTGAGGACAGGTCAGAATAGAATTGAAATCAGGCATTCTTACAACATGGCCAACCCAGCAAAGTCCTTTTGAGCTTAAAAAACAGACTCTCGGCATTTGCCCTTTTGAGAACTTCAGTGTGTGGTATTTTATATTGCCATTTGATGCCAAGAATTTTCCTGGGGCAGTTCATATGGAAATGGTTAAGCTTCTTGGCATGATTTTGATACATCGTCCAGGTCCCAGTAAGCCTACCATACAACCGCATTGTAGACTTTCCAATTTGTCTCCTCATGCCAGTAACATTAACCCATCTGCACTCATGCCCTCACTCAAATGTGCATATATGCCTACACACGTGTGCACACATATGCACAGGGACATGTTAGTGTGCATATTTGTGTGCATATATGCACACACACACTTATAAACAAATAGACACACACACATAGATACACCTATGTGTGTTGGACTTGCAATCTAAGGTAGTGGTTCTATTCTCATCATGCACACAGCCGATTATAATGTACCTTTGGGAATAGTAGTTTTCCTTATGTTCATTTGTCCACCCAGCTCCGAATGGGTACTTGGCACATGTTTTAGCATTATCAGGTTTCTATTGTGCATAGGCCTAATGTACTAAGAAGGTTAAACAACATCGAATAGACAAGTCAATGGGTTACATATTTTTAGTCTTGTGAGTCTTTCATTGGCAGCAATTCAAGATCAAAGAACACAGTAACTCACCATAATGGTTTACTCCAATGCTCTCCAACACAAAAATGAGAAGGGTGGCTCAGATTCATAGGCATTGCCAGTGTCACCCAGAAACTTTGACCATTTCAACTGACAACCCCAATGCAGAAAGTGACACCGAAATAACTGTCTAAAAATTTCATTGCTTTGATTCAGAAGAAACTTATATTGTGCCTGGACACATATCATGTGTTATGTGTCATGATGACCTGTATCAACCCCGCTGATGTTGCTGAGCATATACCATGTATTAGTGTGCCAGTGTCCACCAATCAGATACATACTATGATCCAACAGTCATTTACATGTACATCCTAGTGAACAGTTAGCGGAAAGCACTGTCTTTAATTGTATGATTCTTGTGTTGCATCTTTAAGTTTTCGCAAGTTTCTCTATAAGGTATACTTAAAAGCACCTCTGCTGCTATGTTTTGTCTTTCTCTCTCTACACAAAGAATTGACATGAACAACATTTATTATGTTTTACTCTCTTACTAGAACACTATTCCATTTCTATAATTTTCAAAGATTTGTTAAGATAAATAGCTTTGTATATTGTGTAGATTCCCCTCCCTCCTTCCTAATAAGCACCTTATTTACATAGTCCAAATATTTGAAGTGGATGGTTGTCGGGTGCTCTGGTGTATTTTTTTCCTTCTTTCTTCAAATATCTGCTGTCCTTGTTTCTCCCTCTTTTTTGTGTGTTACAAGTGCTATGAAACTCTTGCTAAAACAAACAAATATTTGGACAAAAATTTTGCAAGTTCTACAAATTGAGAACCTATTATATTACTTTTGTCATAATTTTTCAGACAGTTTGGTGCAACGCATGACAGATGGACTAGGAAGCAATAAGTACAAACCTGTAGACTATGGTCGCTTACGTGCTGCTATCTCTGAGAAAAGGTTTGTTAAGTTTTATTGTTATTCATTTCGTTTACATTTTTTATGTAGGCCTATGGTCTTGATATGTCATGATCTTATCTAGCAATATTTTTTTAAAATCTTTTATTGCTCCCTCATTTTTGCCTTGTATTAAAATAAAGGGATATGCTGAGGGAATAAGAACAAAATTCAACACTGACAAAAAAAAAGGAATGAGAATCAACTGAAAACAGCTGTTGACCACATGTTTTTTTTGTCAACACCGTTGTTTATTTGTTTCCTTAACCATTTTCATTAGTGCTTACTAAAATTATGATCACATAATCATGCAGGTAGTTGTGGGGTGTGAGTGGTAGGTCCAACTTCTGTTATTTCCTTCTATTGTTCCAGTTTGTCTTTCTTGCCTTTTCGTTCCATATTGTGTCAATGTGTTTCTCTCTGCTCAAACAAACAACTAACAAAATTTGTGAATTAGTGATTATAACGTCTCAGACTGACAGAAAAAATTATTAAGGCAATCAAGCATGAAGAGCAAACATATGCTTGAAAGCCCATAGTATGCTGTCAGTTACAGATTCATAAATAGAAAACACACCAGCTTTTAAAAGTCTCTTTTGCAAACAAAGTAATACACATTAATCAGGTAAAATTACTACATTTTACTTTTCCCTCTACTTTTAAAATCATTTGCTAAGAAATATGCCAAGGCAGTTTAACTGTTTACTATTTATATACTTGCCAATAGAAAGAGTGATTATTTAAAAAATGATGAGGTGCAAAAATATTCCCCCTGTATTATATGCACAACATACAGTTAGGATTGGGCCCTACAAAGGGGAAGAAAGGCTGAATAGGACTTTAACAGATTAAATCAATCCTATGATCTCAATGCAACAACTAATAATTCTTATAGGCAAGAGTTCATATATTGGATTGGTGACTAGTAGTTGATTTCACTCATGTTGAACCTCCTTCAGCATGTCAGAAATTCATCCCATATTATTATACTCGCGACCAACAAAAATGGGCCAATGTTGGAGTATAAATATGCTATGCCATATTATATGAGAGGTCATGTTATTATTATTATATTAAATATATATAGGTCAGTGTATATGGTATTCAGTCATTACTCTACACAGTTCAGTATAATAACTTGCCTTATTATATAAGATCTATAAATAATGTACAAGTAAACAGACATGAACATTTTCTTTAAGTGCTAAAATCATTCTTGAATGGGTATTTCTGTTTAGGTATGGATCCATTAAGACATCCATGAAAGTTGCTAAGATAGAAAAGATGAGCCAGCAGCACAGGGAGAATACTATCCTCAAGCAGCATCAGCTAATATGGCAGAAAGAATTCCTTCGGTTACAGCATATTCGCAAAAAAGTAAGTAGAACTAATGATTACTGTTCATTAAAAATGTGCTACTTTGATGCACCCAGTTTGCCTAACAATCTTGGGACTGTGTAAATAGCTTGATGAAAATTGTATGGTTGATTATATGCAGATGAAATTTGATATTTCATTAATGAGAACTGCAATGATTTTACATAAATTGTGATAATCCATATTTTCTTCTGACTTAAAGTGTACTGTGCAATAAGCTTGCACCTAGAGAGTAATTGTAAGATTGTTGAATGAATTCTCTCTCTCTCTCTCTCTCTCTCTCTCTCTCTCTCTCTCTCTCTCTCTCTCGCTCTCTCTCTCGCTCCCTCGCTCCCTTCCTCCCTTCCTTCCTCTCTCTCTCTCTCTCTCTCTCTCTCTTTCACACTCTCTCTCGCTCTCTCTCTTGTTTCTTCTCAATAAATGTGCTTTTGGATTGTTTGTCTGTGTAAATAAACAGGCATAGAATATTCTTGATGATTCTGGGAGATTCTGATGCACTTCAGTAATATAACTTTGCATTACATGTGTATTGTGTGAGTTTTTATGTGAATAACATCTGAAAGCTGTTTATTTTCGTAACTTAGGCTCAAGTTGATGTTGATGAACACACAAGAAACAACCGAACATCGGAAATTTGTGGGCAGATTTACAATGACTTCGACTATTGTGATGCTGGGCTCTCTGCTGAGTTCAATGCTTTCAAAAAAGCCACTGCTGATCCTGTTTGGAATTTAAGGTGTGTATCACTTCATGCTGAAAGCAGATGCATTTTCCATAAATATGTAATTTATCATCACGAGAGGGATTATATAATTTCCCTCTCCTATAGCATAATGTGAAGTTTACTAGTTCAAGGCCCTATTTCTGCTTGAACTCATAACTTATTGTCCGTGGCCAACCACCAATTAAGTAACCTGAAGCCAAATTAAATGCAGGACAGCTAGCTTGTGTTCAAATAGTTATTTATGATTTACGATAGCACATTGTATACATGGATGTGATTGTTTTTTAAGATGTTCTTTGTTTGTTCAGAGATGACCTCAGATACTGGCTCACGGAGAAACGAGAAGATGTGAAGCTTGGATCTCCAGATGTCATAGAGGAGCATGCAGAAGTGCGAGAGATGGTAAAAAATGTGAAAAGTCAACAGGAAGAAATCATGAACAAATTAAATCAAGAACAGAAACGCCTTGAAGCAGAACTCCAGTCAGGTGTGTAATTTTTTGCCTTGTGTTTAGGAAATTATGTTTTGGAGGTAGTTTGCTTGTTTCCATACAGTTTGGATGATTTTATCCATTATGATTATCAATACTCTTAACGCATTACACGAAATTTACTATGGGATAAAGCTATAGCATGGCTAACAGAAAAGTAATTAAAGTTTATTTTCTGTTTTTAATGTACCATATAGATGACATTAAAGGTTTTTTGCTTATTGTTCAGAAAAATAGGATTCAGATGAACTGAAACAGTTTCAAATGAGCTTGTTTTTGTTTCTCGCATTTCTCTTTTTTCTTGATAACCATTTATGAGTTCTGTGCTTCACAGAATAGTCAGACTGATTTTATGATCTGTGTTTGATTTTTTTGGGTTGCAGATATTCTATTAGAGCTGTGTCCCCCTGTACTGCATAAACGTCCAGCAGTTCAAATGGGAATCCCTCAAGAAGCTCTGCAGAGTGAGTGCCCAGACCAGAAGCTGAAGACTGATGTATTGCATGAATTTTCAATTATAGATGAAAAATATGAAAATCAGATTGATGAACTTGGGGAGAGACATGCTCTCGCTTTGAGGTAAGTAAGTATAGTTGAACTGTGATTTTAAAATATTTTTTAAAATGCACAATGAAAGAAAAAAAACTCTGATCAGTTATTTGCTGAAAGAAAAAGAATGTGTTTAGTAGCCCTATTTACTATTTACCATTGTGTTTTTGTCTTTATAATTTTCTTTTACTTCTACACAATCTGTGTACTTGTTGAAGGAGAAAGTACTGTCTGTATAGTTCTTGTTTAGTAATATGTTGATTTTAAAGTTAAATGATATCATTTTAATTTAATATAGAAAGACACTTTTATTCAATAACTAGTCTTTTGATTTGTTTTCTGTATATAGTCTTGATGAATGTGGAGGATGGGATGCAGATGAACATTTCCAGTTTGTAGCCATTCATGACCAGTATCCCAGAGAGCTCCCCAATCGCAGGACATTGCTTTTTGACAGATTGAAGAGACATCTTCCTAGAAAATCCCACACACAGCTGGTGAGAGGACTTGTTTATCATTTTTCAATATTTAATATAAAGTAACCTGTGAAGCATACATCATCGACAGTATAAAGAAAATGAAAAATTTGCTTATCTGTAACATTCTCAGTGTCCAAAGCTACAATATGTATTGGACAAGTCATTATTAAAAGGAATGTATGAATGTATGTAACAAAATATATTAGAAAACATTTAGCAATCTGTGGGTGGAGATACCTTGAATGTAAACCGGCATGAGTGTCCTTGTTATACCAGTAGCCTATGTTTTTTGCTTAACCTCTTCGCTGCGGCGCTATAGAATTTACGGGCCTGAACCGTGTAACGCTGTGCCTATGGCCCGTAGAATTTACAGGACTGTGACAGAGGTTGTTTTGATACCAATTATAAGGAAAATTACTGCTAAAATCTTGTAATTATTATTAGGGTACTTTCCCTTTACATTTACCTCCATTTTCCCCCCTTTTGAAAGCGTCAGATTCAGATTTTTGCCTGAAGAGAAGATTAGATCTAGATATACAAATCTACCGCACAAAAATGATTTACTGGCAGTAAACACAGAGAGGCTTACATGTATATATATATATGGATTGTACAAGCGTTGTATAAGGTAAGAAAAGCCTCTTGTCACTTCCTCTTAACCTGTAAACACTCACACAACATAGTCCCCTTCTTTTGGTATCAGTTTCTTATAACTTGAATGTGTGGTGTTTATGTTGTTTGGTGGTGTTGTTTTTGGCATCATGTTACTAACTCCAACTTTTGATCTCCATCTATCTCTCAACGAAATCCCCGTAAAATCATATCAATAGAAATGTGGTTCAATGTCGAATGTAAGTATGCAGAAATTCATGAGGAAATATTCATAAATAAAAAAGTTATGGGAGGTAGAGTTGGGTCCCCCCATAGCAGCCTTGGTTCATGGGATTTCCCCTGCCTGGCACAGGGGCTTATTTACCTGCGGCATTGAAGGGGTTAAAGTGTACTCAATATGTGAGACACTGACAATATGTTTTTTAAATTAATGATACCAGAATTCTTAAAAGACTTGTATGATACTTGATATTGTGTCTTTTCTAACTACATTGTATTCCTTCACTGTGAACAGGAATGAGCTTCATATTTCTAAAGCTGTCATTTATATTACCAAAAGATGTTCGTTTAGATACAGTTATTAACAATCATATTCTCACCCATCGGAACAGACGTTGTTTTGTACTGGTACTTTGCCAAAAATGTAATGCAGCCAGTGCGAATTGTAATATTTTCAGTCTGACCATGAAGATTGGTGGCTTGACTACAAGTATTACTATGAGAGACTGAAAGGAATCCACACAGACTGGAACCGCGACAAACGGGAGCTAGTTGGCAAGGCTCAGATGGTGTTTGCTGAGGCTGCCGCAGCCCAGGAGCTGGAGGAAGTGCGACAGGAGTATTACAGTAGGCACAAACAGCTCTGTGAAGTTCTCTATGAAAAGGTATTTACATATTTGTCTCATATTTTTCTTCCTCAAACACCATCAAAAGCCTAGAAAGGCTCTCTTCTAGAACTTTGTATAATTTAGTCTCCCAAAATTTATATGTTAAGTGGATTCTATTTTGAGTTATCTTTAGTTTTGCTGTTTTATTGACTACTTTATATATATATATATATATATATATATATATATATATATATATATATATATGTGTGTGTGTGTGTATGTGTGGCGAGCTGCAAAAACCGTTCAGAAGTCGCTGCGCCTACTTAATTAGACCTAGGCCATCTCAAAGGTCATTTTGGGCTATCCTACGGAAATTGAGATTTTTGCACAAAGCTGGTCTTCAGTGTCTTTATTTTCACCCCTGTAAATATTAAACAATACCTTGAGCTGGAAATATATCAATTTTACTTGTCCACCCCCAGTCAATATAATACTCTAACATGTCTGACTGTGGCGAAGAGGACTATGAAAATCTATCTCTTTTCGACCGATGTATCTCAAAAGTATTTAGAGACGACCCCCAAGTATTATACATCGTTGGAAAGGTCAGACTGTGTACAAGCAAATAAAAAGTAGTGCACCTACATTGATTAAAGGAATTTGAAGTACATATCTAGATTAGTGCGCCAGCCACCGTTGATGTTTGTAAAGAAAATCAAGTGCCAACTTTAGGCGCTGATATTCGCCCAAAGATATCACAGTTCTTACTAAAAAAGCACGCTTGATCTCAACCAATCATTGGAAAATTGTTTAGATGCAATAGTTTGTCATGATATCAAAAGAAAGTGTAACTATTTGCAGGAAAAGCCTCTGATCCCTGACCGTTAACCAGATCTGGCTTACTTTCGAAATTCCAGGGGAAATTAAGAGTGTCAAGACACGGTCTCTAAACAATGTAACATCGGTATATGTGACACAACGCGGTGGAATCAGGCGATCGTTAATTTTGGGTATATGGAGTTATTGATATCATCTAAAAGCCTGTTCTTTTGCCTTGCTTTTGGTGATAAAAATATCCATTTTTCTTGGATACAAGTCAAGATATTAGCGAAAAAATAGCTGCCAAAGTTGAGTTATTTTCTTAGCTTGAGAGTCCATAGAAACTGAAAATTTACGTCTTTTTTGCCTTTAATTAATGTTTTTCAGTAAAATCAACACAGAAATGTGTTTTTGAAGGGCATGAAAGGTGTTGAGCCACAAAACAAAATTTGATAAAAATTCCCAAACCTGCAGAAAAATGCTAGTTTCTTGACTTTCATTATTTTGACGAGCGCCTGATTTCATCGCGCTGCCTCACATATTTAGGATATAAACACATCAGCACCAGTTTCTAAGTAAGCAAAAAATATATTTTGTCTAACACTATGTTGCTGTGATCACTGTACTTGCATATGTGTCACGACACGGTGGAGTCAAGCGCTCGTCAATTTTTTGGCATGTGGAGTTATTGCTATCATCTGAATGCTGATTTATTTGCCTTGCTTCCAATGAAATAAACGTCCATTTATCTCGAATAGAACTCAACGCATTTGTGATTGAAGCCCTGAGGTTACCATTTTTCAGTGCTGAAATTAGCGAGAAAATCCGCCAAAGTTTGATAACTCCAATAGCTAAAGAGTCTTTGAAAACTGAAAAATGGCACATTTTGTGCCTTTAATTAATGAACGTTTTCCAGTAAAATTCACATGGAAATGTGTTTTTATATGGACATACAAGAGGTTGAGCTAAAAAATAAAATTTGATTTAAAATTTCCAAACTGGTGGAAAAATGCCTGTTTCTCCGATTCATTGTTTTGACAAGTGCCTGGTTTCACCACGCTGCCTCACATATACTGTGTTTTGTCCCTTTTGTTCAACTGATATCAGTCAAAACTATTGCGTAGACTGTAAGACCGTTTTTCTTAGTTCGGAGTTTTCGTACCTTGATTGATAAAAACTGCCATATCTCGGTAACTATAATAGATACTAGCTGGGTACCCGTTCAATGAACTTACTCAAAAGAATCGATTGTCAAGTCTTTGCGGAACCAGTGCACACACTTGCTTACAATGGAGTCTTAGATAACAGACTTTCCCAAGATTAGATATAAACAAAACAAATGAAAAACTGAAAATTAAACTAAAGTGACTTCAGACTCCTTAATATAATTGTGCACCCTATAAATGATTCTGAACCACCTTTAATTTTTTCAAATTCGAAAGTTTAGTGGTTTGGAAGTTTTAGGCGACCAAAGTGACGAACTTTCACAAATATGGTGGCTTTTAAGGACAAGCTGGGGTTTCCAGAATTCTTGACATACACCAAAAGTGGGCATTGCTCTACCTATAGGAAAAGTTAGGTTTCATTAGTGTGTATATTTGTTTGGTTATAAAGAAAACTCTCCTTGTCTTTTAAAGGACCTGAACAAGGGACAAAAACTTTACCTTCGATTTTCTCAAACCGCATTTTTCGGGATAGCCCCCTTGTGCTTAAAAATGTGCTTAAAAACGACCATATAATATATATAGATAACATTCAAATAAGAAGGAAAATGCCCAGGAAAAGCTGTAGATTAATCATTTGAGATAATCTCAATTTTTATGTTTTGACCTGTGTGATCAGTTTTTGCAGCTTGACACACAGAGCTGGTTGTAACGGAGTACAAGTACTCCGGTACTTGTACTTACGTTACAATTTTCGGTACTTTTACTGTACTCCGGTACATTTTGAGAACCAGTATTTTTACTGTACTCCGATACTTTTTATAAAAGTACTTTTGAGTATTTTTAAAGTACATTTTGAGTACTTTTGAAGCTTAATGAAAGAATAAGTGCCGGCATTTCTGATCATAATTTACGGAACAAACACCCGGGCGGGCACAGCCGATCGACCAAGAGTTAAAAGTTGAGATTAGAGAACTGCCCGTCGCGTCAAAGATTAGCCACTCTCGTGATCACAAGCGTTATAAAACTCCATGAAACGGTACAATGATCTGTACAATGAGGTGTGAACTGACCGATGGGTGTTTCTTTTCCCCAAACATCGCACTCGCATCTGAGCTCGCCACCTGAATTTTCACCACTCGCTGGGTGGGTTGGACCCACAAGTTAGCTTCAGGCAGGATCACATCGAACTGTGAACTCTTCCCTGACCATTGAAGTTGAAGGCAGTTTTTCTCTATTCCCGAATTTGCGAGACAGCCTGAATTTTAATTGGTGTGGTCACAGCGTAATGGTACGTAACAACAAAGGCGGGGGGACTCAATCAGAGATGGAAGGCTACAATTTTTGGACAGGTAAAGGGGAGGGGCAACTGGATAAACGTAGATAAAGATCTCGAGACGATAATATGCTAATGAGTGTACGGTATAATATGGCATGACTCATGCCACCATGCTACTGTGATTGGTCATCAAGGTTGACCACTCTTTGCTCGCCATATGTCATAAACCTACCCAGGGGTCACGTCAGTTCATGGGTCTTTGTAGATTCTTCCTTGGCTTCGTCGGCTAAGATCCCGCATTTCCCTTGCTCCCGAGCACTGGGATCTTAGGCGGAGACTACTGTAGTAGAGAATTTTTGGTTACACTACACTTACTAGACTCTAGGAAATTACATGTCCTATTTTGGTTAGCCGTGGGCGCCGTGGACTACACAGTGTGACCAAAATCTGTCTTACCACTATTATAATCAATTGAAACTGAAACTGAGTTCTCAATGTATCTAACAATTTTTTAGGCTACCTAAATTTCTTTTTTCCTTTTTTTGTGGTTTGTGCTTAAGGCCACCTTGATTCCTTGAGGGTTTGTTAATGAAGAATTCAATGCACTTTTTTTTGCTGGCCATTTTTTTATCAATTTTATATTTTCTTAAGAGCAACTTTGTCTTTACATTTTTCCAATTTGGATACTTTTCCTACTTTCCGACCTCTAAGACTGACTTACATTTGATCATATTGTCTTGCTCAAACAAGTTCTATTCATAATATCACTTACTCACTAGTTGCGTCTGTTTGTTTGCTGTTTTTTCAATTTTGTGGACCATTTCCACGTATGTTCAGTGCGTATATTCAAATGCTTTGTATACTGTTTACATTATTAGTAATAAATGGCCGAATTTGTCAAATATACTAGATATGTTATTGAATATGATGTTTTGCATCAGCACTGATGTGTTTTAGCATATTAGCAGAAAGTAATCAAAATGTACTCATAAGTACTTTTTTAAAAAGTACTTGTACTCAAGCACATTTTACAGGAAAATACTTCTACTGTACTTAAGTACATATTTTAGATTGTACTTAAATGTGTACTTAAGTACCTTTTTAAAAGTACTTTAACAGCTCTGCACACACACATATATACATCTTCATTGTGTTGAGTAAATGAATTTTATATATAAAAGTAATAACCCATGATATATGATTAATTTCTGGGTCTCATGTTTTCAATTATCTATCTACCCATTAGATTGTTTAATTAAAGAAAAAACAACTATTTTTTTTAAAAGGTCAAAGAATGGAGAGAGAAAAAAATGGAAGCCATGCAACTCCAGGCTCAAATAGATGAAGAGAGAAGAAGACAAGCTGAAGAAAAGTTTGAAAGAGAGCAAGAAGTGGAGAAGAAGAGGAGATCAAAGGAAAAGGAACAGGTATGATCTAGGCTGCTTGGGATGATAATTTCCTGTTACTTACATTAAACCATTACCAGAATACCCGCCCCCTCCCTTCCTGCCTCCTTCCTTATCTGATTCACTACAGTTTTCATGCCTTGTTTTATTGTGGATCCTTTCACATGCTGCTATTGTTGATTTTCAATGTGGCCAATGATGACATGCAAATATTTTTAATTCACCATACTGTTACATATTATTCTAAAATGATACATGTCTTTGGAAAACAACTCTCCTAACAAAGATCAAAAAGGTTGTTGGTATTTTTTGTTTTTTCTTTAAGCTTAAAAAGTTCAATGACGTTAAAGAAACACAAAGACAAGAGGCTCAAGCTGCAGCTGAACAGAGGCTCAAAGAGTTGATGGATCAAATGGCAGAGCAAGCTGTGCATGACAGAGAAAGAGTAAAATTCAGGTAACATACTGTCGGTCGCCCGATACAATTGGGAAATCCACATTTTTTATTTTTTAAAATTTTTTTGTTGCATATTTTGTTAGTACTTGATGAAATACATTTCCCTGTAAAACTGTTTTACATCGTTACCTCAACTCAAATGTTTAATCTGACGTAATATGAAAATCGTGAATAAACACTGTGCCCCCAAAGTCACCGGATGAAACTGTGAGGACGCATTATTACATTCATTGCTAAAATACTTTTCTGAAAAATTCATGTGTACTCATTGTTTAACTACATTTCTTAAGAATATTACGATAATGTGTTTTACTGTTCAAGAATAAATTCATCTAATGCTTGTTATCTTTTTGTTCTGTTTTTTGCAGAGAGGAGCAGTTAGAACAAAAACTGGAGGAGAGAAAAGAAAAGGAGGGTTTAAAGGCACTTGAAGAAAAGGAAAAGGAAGAACGGTTGGAAGCATTAAGAGCTCAGGTTGGTCAGAGGAAATTGGTCCTTATTGTCACATCATTTTGTATACTGTGGAATCTTCTTTAGCAACCGCCTGTCAAAAAGACAACCACCTGTGCAAATGACAGCCCCCTCTCCCAATTGTATTTTTTTGTAGTGTGAAAATGACCCTGTCCAAAACATCCACTTGTCTAAGATGACCATTTTTTTCCCCTCGACAATTGGTGGTTGTCTTGGAGAGGTTCAACTGTCTTTGACTGTTTTTGACATTTATAATGTTTTGCAGTAAAGGAGCCATTGGATATTAAAATGAACTTAAACCTATGTTGAGGTTGCTTCCAGGGCGGATTGGCTGGTGACCAGGCTGTCCTCTTATCCACACTTTTATGGCTCTAATCTGAGAAATTTTATTGAAAAATAAAGAGAGCCCCCCCCCCACCCCCTTCCTGCCCCTCCCCCTCCTGCCCCCCTTCCCCCTCTAGAAGTGTTTTAAATAATAATATTTTTTATTCATTGTTTTCAATAGGTTCGAATTATTGCAGAAAGTGACCCATCAAGGACAATGCAAGAAACAAAGGTAAGCCATTAATCATAAACAGTCAAACCCCATTTACCAACTGTCTTGAAACAAGCCTAAAATATTCGGTAAAGCGGGACTGGCGGTTTAGTAGAGTTTGATGCAATATAATGGGTTCTGACTGTATCTCACTAGAAAGTGAAAAAATTCTCATATTAATTTTATGTAAAAATTGGTTTGTAATTGGTATGACTATTTAATTTAGGTATAATGCATTCATTTGTAATGGCTTGATGCAAGTAAACGAAATTTCAGATAGTATAGCTACACATGGAAGATAGAAACTGTAGATTAGCATTTTATGAGGAATGGAACTGAAATATGAATGAAGTCTGAATTGAAAGATTCTTGGTAAGATGAAAATATGAATTTTGAAAGAGGTTTCACCCTCTCCGTTATTGATGTACCATTTACAATACTGAGTATGGAACTAATGTTAAAAGAGAAAATGGGGATATTCTTGAGAATGAACTGTTGGAAACTGTTTTATTCTTGTCTTACTTTGTTCTATTACTTCTTCCAGATATTTGTTGTTCCTTCTAGAATTAAAATCCAATGTATTACAATCAACGATCAGTGTACCTTGCAATACAGTGGAATACTAATTGAGTGAGTTAGATTTTGATTTGATTTTATGTTTCAAAGTACCAATTAAGATTAACGTTTTGCCATGTGCAATGTTTTTCTGTCTTTCCTAGGCATGGATGGCTCATCACTCAATAGATGAGGATGAAGAGTTGCCACTGTACAAACCACTGTTTGATATGCATTCGTTCACATCCAAACAGGTGATTAATAGCAGTAGATATAGTGAAACAAAATAAAAAATTGTTTTTACTTACTGTTTTAATTCTCAAAAAAATTTGAGTACAAAAAGATTTTGTTCATTTTTATGTGTTGTCTCTGGAATTAAACAATAAGTTAACATGGTTTATTCTCTTTAAACACGTTAAAACAGTTTTGGGCTAGAACAATAATTTTTTCATTGTTTTGAGCCCAGAATTTATTTTAAAAATTAGCGCAGCTGTATTTTGAAGAATGTGTAAAGTTGTGCTCATATCAGTCTACTTTTTTTGCATCTGTCTTTTTCTCCATTTCCATTCTGATTCACTTTTTATGGAGAAAAATAGAATTCACAAATTTGAAAAGTGTATTTCTTCTCCTATTTCATCAATCAAAAGTGAAATTTGTGTAACTTCTCCTACTACATCAATCAAAAGTGAAACTTGTGTGAATACTTTGCTTTTTTTTGTGTGAATATAAACGCTAGGAGCTTTTTAATTTTTAAAATTTAGTGCATATTAATTCTTCAAGGGGGATGAGGAGTTCTCTTTGAACACAATGAAATTGTTTACTTTAGATTAAAATGTAAAATTTCCCACCGATCTTTTTATCCATCAGATAACCTCTGATCATCGAGTGAGACTGGAGCAAAAATTGAGAGAAGCAGGACTTCACAACACCGACTATGCCCGACAAATCATTCGTGGAGCAACCCCTCCCAGGGTTCCCCGCAAAGATCAACAGCACACTTTCAAATTTACGGATGACTGAATTTCTTTTTGCATAGTTATTCTATATTATGTTGCTTAGAATAAAATCTCTGTTCAACAACAGCCTTATTGGCTCTTTGATTTCACCAACAATGCTTATGATTTGGGGAGGGGGGGGGGGAGCTCAAATAGCTCAGTGTTTAATGAACTTAGATTTGTTCATAATGTTAAGCTATGTCATTGACACTAGTCATAGGTAGATGGTTACTTGGCTATATCCCCAGCAAGGTGCATTAGCCATAGCTCATAGGAAGGCATAGTATCTCAACAAACAGCAATGTTATACTACTGTTTCAGGTTGTTAAACTTTTCATTGTAAAACAAATTTCTTTTGGGGATCAATAAAGTTCTCTAGTCAGACTAGTCTTTCTTCTCTCAGTATAATACATACAACAGCCTCATCCCTGTAAGTATTCTGAGTAGACTAAATTGTGCCTCTGATAAATAGTTGTGCTGAGCTGGGAGAAACATTTGTCTAGCAAAATATAAAGCTGTGCGCCTCCTACTCAGAGACCGGAACAACATTTTATGGAAATTTTTCAGCAAAGCTTTACAAATGCAGAACAAACATGGTCTATAACTTCTCTTCCTCCTTTTATATTAAAGGTCATCATAAATTTATGAGGGATGAACCACATGTTGATCAAAATGCAAACTGCTTTTTGTGAGTTACGCAGATGAATGCTTTGGAGTTTTGGGAGACATTGAACTTCGTAAATTGGGGAGAGGGTCCAAGACATGTTTGGTTGGAAAAATTGTTTGGTGTGTGATAAGCTTTAGACCATGTCTATATGAAGGTCATTATTACAAACTGATTTTTTAATTTTTTTTTAAAAATATATATATATATATACACACACAGTCGAACTTGCTATGACGGCCACCTGTAGGCCTATAATATGGCTGTCTGTACAAACGGCCACACTCCATTTCCCCCCTTGCGGTTTTTCAAAAAATAATTTCACTGTAAAGCGACCTGTCCAACGCGGTTATGGCCTCCATATTTTATCAACCAACAACCAAATATGCTTCTCTAGGATGACCATGTAAATCTCTCTTCGCCAGACACTTTGTCATTGATTATGTATTGACCCCTTACGTTGTGGAGAGCAGTCATAATATATTCACCTTTTGTTATTGTTAGTCTCTCCAATAAAAGAACCAATCATTTTGCTTTCACTCTCAACTTTTACCCCAAAAGACCAATCTGTAACAATAAATTTTCAGCATCTAGTGAGAGAAACGTATGATCCATCATAACCTACAAGCCCCGCCCACACCTTAACTTATACACAAATTGTAAGTGAGATAAGCTGCCATTGTTTACCCAGTCGGTAAACCCAGTCCATAAGATCAGAATGGAAGTCAACATGACCTCGTCGCAGAAGTCTCACTTGTTGGTCGAGTGGTGGTGACCCATTTGTTTGCATTACTATGGCACTCAGTCTTCCTCATCTGACACATTTCGTTTTGTTGTAATGTTGCACAAAACCGTAATTTAAAAGAAAACAAGATTTTATCTGTCCTGTGTTTGACGGCCACCTGTCTTATGTTGCCACTTTTCTCCTCAACAATGTGTGGATATCTTACACAGGTTCGACTGTATGTTATTTCTTTAAAACGTGCTGTGTATTGCAGGAATGTCATATATCATGTGTTCATAGTCCTAAGAGACAGTGTCTCAAATATAACAGTTTTAGTAAATTTTTGTCTGCATTTTTGCTGTGAAAATTTTTTTAAAGTGAGCAATTATAAGGAAAGAAATCATGTTTTCTCTTATGCTCGTTAGTCTTTTTTACTGCTGCCTTCTTTTAGCTCTCAACAGTATTATCTAAGTACTGCCTTGTTCCGTGTTCAAAACAGTTGTGCTGACTCTGATTGATTACGAATCTTGTAGGTCCTCTATCACATGACTGAGATAATTTGTCAGGCATGACCCAAGCCGAGTGGGATGTAGCGTCTTAACCCTATCCGTACGCCCTGGGGTTATTTTGTTCCCCCGCCGTTGTATTCTTCACATTTTAGAATACTTCTAGTGCGAAGATCTCTTTTGAAACTTTCAGTATTTCTCAAAAAATAATTTTAGCAGACTGCTATGCAAAGCGTACGGATTGGATTAACGAGTAAATTTCCTCTTTGGAAAGTGGTGGCACAGGGTTCCCCACGTCATATGGATACGATAGTAAAACTAGACGTATGAATAGGGTAAACAAAATATGGAGATACTTGATAGAATAAACTTTGCAACTGGGGAATCGAACATATGTCTTTTGCGTGCAAAGCAAAAAGTTGGACTGTTTCACCACAGACGTTAGAAAACCGTGATTTTGTGGAAAAAAGAACTTAATTTTTCTGAATACGAGTCTGGCAAACTATATTGCTCAAATACCTAGAATTTTCTTTTAAAAGATAAGTATAGCTCTGTTTGAGTGATTTAGTTAAAATACAGGGTGATCCAAAAAAACTGTACAACTTTTTTTGGTAAATATTTTCCTCCACACTGAAGTTTGGCATTTCAAAATTATACACACATTTGGAAGTCAAAAGGAATTTGTCTGATATTCATCTTAGAAAAATCCACAGAAAAGTTTGGCTCTACATAGCGCTTAAAAAAACAACCCATTTTCTGCTATGTCCCCATTTTTGTAACATGACACACTAGTTTGCATTAGGCATACCACTTAAAATCCCAACGATTGCGCCATATTGCAAACTACAGTAGTCTAACAGGCCGACAGAAGTTTGCAGATAGTTTTTCTCAAGTTTCCTTTGCCTGCTGAAATCATGGTTAAGATAAGTAAAGAACAGAGCCCTTTTTGTAGTGAACATTTCCTCACCACCAACTCATTTCGCAAGTTTCGCCCTAGGTACAGAAATAATATTAAAGTGTCCTTAAGGCCTGGGTCAAGGGTGGAAATGGTCCATCAGTTAGGACCTGTAGAGAATCAGAACTAAAAATCCCCAGACAAAAGGACCACTTCAGGTCAAACACACACTCTTTGGACCCCTTTGAACATCGCCAGGGTGCAGAATTCAGTAGGTGAGCGCCATGAGACGTCTGTCCGTAGATGATGTCTACAGCAATGACTTTCCTACACCTCAACGGTCCGCATTCTCAAGGCAGACCTTTGTCTTCGACTGTACCATTATCCCATTTATGAAGCTATCAGAGGATAGCAATGTGTTTATTCCTCTATGACATTTGATTCCTTGGCAAACCCATATTCACCTTTCAAGTTATATCAACTCCACAAATGCAACCTACCCCGCCCCCTCCCCAGCTATTGTCTTTAGAAACAGCTCCGTACTGTAGGTGTACAGTGTGTGTGGCTTTGAGTACTCATTGTTAATTGGATCCTTATGTTTGACCCCCACTGAACATTACAAATGACGCTTTAAAATTTTTTGAGTCCAAAGAAGGACGTATATAGACCATTGGTTCTCGGAATTCCAGGATTTTTTACAAAAAAATTGTTTAAACTCTGTAGAAGAAGTGATATATTGTTTAAAGGTTACAGAGATGGAAAGTTTAGATTTTTTAAATAAAAGAAAAGGAAAAAACAAACCAATCATTTCGTGATTTTCCTTACAAGATCTTTTAAATTGGTGCATTTTGCATTTATAGGTGGCTTTTATAAAAGTCATTTTCATTTTCGAAAATAAGTTTCTTCTTTGTGAATTTTACTTGAAACAAATTCCTTTTGAATTAATTATATCTGACCCAAATTACAACATTCTAGTACAAATTTTGTGCAAGATATTTAGGAAAAAAGTTGTACAGTTGGTTTTTTAAAATCACCCTGTATGTGTATTTGCAAAAAAATGTTAATTTGTTTTTATAGTAAAGGAGAAATGGGTTATCAGATATACATTGTCTGTTTCTCATGTATCAATGTCCATATATACTTTTTGTTAAAATATATTTATATATAATATTATCATAATACCCCTCCCCATACCCCATCTATGGTGCAAGGGCCTAATTCTTGTACTGTTTACTACAGCACAGTATGCAAAGGCCAATTATCAATTTTTTTAAAAATGATTTTGTTTATATATATATATATATATATATATATATATATATATGTGTGTGTATTTGCAGTTTTTAAAATTAAAATTTCAAAAGTTTCGTGCCTGCCTTTGAGTAAGCTATGCAACATCTTACAATACATATTTTGTGAAAATCTAAAGATATGACTGAATTTTAATGAAAGGGGTCTCGTTATCCCAAAGTTAGGTGATTTAGATGTATACCCACATCATTATAATAATATATGAGCTGGCCTGTTAAGATTTCTCCTCTGCTGCTTTGAGAACTGTATTGCCCCAGTGCAATGACTGTTCTAGATAGATCAGCTTTTCTGGCAGTAATCTGGTGTGTCCTTCATTGAAACAAAGTCGGCTTGTATATATGTAAGTCCTTGAACAATTGATAGAGTGGCATATACGATGGGTGGGGATAAAAAGTGAATTAAACAGAGCTGGACAAAGCTGGTTGAACAAGTACTAAGTCAATGCATCTTGAGCCCGATTGTGCTGGATTGTTCATGTTATTGGAACAGACGACGACCTTACCCCTGGGCAGCAGTGATCTGGTGCTCCTCCAATCAGGAAAGGCAAAAAATTATTAAAAGTATCATGGACAGCTTCATCAAATGGCGGGATGATGTCTACTTCTTATTGGTTGATTAAACTTCTATGAATAAATGATGATGGTGATGATGATGAAGATGATGATGATTTTGTTTCCTTAAAACCCTTTTTCCATCTTTGGGGTCCAATAGACCCCAAGGCCATGTTTTTTTGCTCTAAAATCGTCAACTTTTGACCTACGAATCTGAAATTTCTTTACTTTTCCTGATTTGACCCCCTGCCTGACCACCCCAAATTTTGTTTCTTTCACTTGCATGATTTACTCACCCCGAAATGCCTCCCCTGAATTTTGAGATTTACATCTTTGGGGTTCATTTGGACCCCCTAATAAATAGAGTGAAAATATGGTGAAACCACCCATTTCTTGCTTTGGGGTCTATTTGGACCCCATAGCAATTTCCATACTGCT